GAAATGCCTGGATGCCCAGGCAGAAGTTTGCTGCAGGGGTGGGGCCCTCATGGAGAACCTCTGCTAGGGCAGTACAGAAGGGAATTGTGGGGTTGGAGCCCCCACACAGAGTTCCTACTGGGGCACTGCCTAGTGGAGCTGTGAGAAGAGGGCTATCATCCCCAGACCCCAGAATGGTAGATGCACTGACAGCTTGCACCATGTGCCTAGAAAAGCCACAGACATTCAACACCAGCCCATGAAGGCAACTGGGAGGGTGGCTGTACCCTGCAAAACCACAGGGGTGGAGCTGCCCAAGACCATGGGAATCCACCTGTTGCATCAGCATGACCTGGATGTGAGACATGGAGTCAAAGGAGATAATTTTGGAGCTTTAATATTTGACTGCCCCACTGGATTTTGGACTTGCTTGGGGCCTGTAGCCCCCTTTGTTTTGCCAGTTTCTCCCATGTGGAATGGCTGTATTTACCCAATTCCTGTACCCTCATTTTATCTAGGAAGTAACTAACTTGCTTTTGATTTTACGGGCTTATAGGCAGAAGGGACTTGCCTTGTCTCACACGAGACTTTGGATGCCAAAATGAGTTAAACCTTTAGGGAACTGTTGGGAAGGCATGACTGGTTTTGAAATGTGAGGACATGAGATTTAGGAAGGGTCAGGGGTGGAATGATATGGCTTGTCTGTTTTCCCACTCAAATCTCATCCTGAATTCCCACGTGTTGTGGGAGGGACATAGTAGGAGTTGATTGAATTGTGGTAGTAGGTCTTTCCTGTGCTGTTCTTGTGATAGTGAATAAGTCTCATGAGATCTGATGGTTCTATAAGGGAGAGTTTCCCTGCACAAGCCCTCTCTTTGCCTACTGTCGTCCATGTAAGTTGTGACTTGCTCTTCCTTGCCTTGTGCCATGTTTGTGAGGCTTCCCCAGCCATGTGGAACTGTGAGTTCACCATTAAACCTCTTTGCCTTATAAATTGCAAATCTTGGGTATGTCTTTATCAGCAGTGTGAAAATGAACTAATATAGGAGGTGATCTCTGGAAGCACAGTGAGGGGGTGGGGAAGAGAAAGAGAGGGAGAAAAGCCAAAATAGAGCACATTGAAGAGTAGGTTATTGCTGTTGTTAAGGGGGGGTTAAATTTCACTCACAACCTCCCAGCTATGTGAAACTCACTTCAGTATTGTGCCAGGGAAAGGCAAGGAAGTTGTTTACACATGCACCCTCATCCTTGATTCTTAGTGTCATTCACTTGCAAGTAGTCCAGCCTTTTCATATACTGGCCAAGCTGCTTGCTAGGCCAGAGAATGCCCTTATGCAGACAGATGCAGTTACCGGAGCTGGATGGCCACGATTTCTAGCAGTGGTTCTTTCTCAAACTGAGGGTGGGGCTCAGGGGAGAGGAGGAGGTTATTTTGCTCTCCAAGGAGCATTTGGTAAATTCTGTGGACATTTTTGGTGGTCACAACTGGGGGGAGGAAAAAGTGCTACTGGCTGGCATCTAGTGGGTAGAGACCTGGGATACTGCTAAATATACCACAGTTCATATGGTTGCCCCCTATAGCAAAGAGTTATCCATCCCCAAATGTCAATAGTTCCGTGGCTTAGAAACTCTATTTTACAGGAATTCAGAGCTGCGGGTGACTTCTGGGTGGGAGGACCAAGGGAATATGGTGGGACACCATGGCATCTGCTACACTTCTCAGGTATACCCTGAGTTTCTTGGTACTCTGCTTTTGCTCATGATGTTCCCTTTGTATCCTCATTTCCAAATCCTTTTTATTCTTTAATTTTTTTGGGTATATAGTCTATATGCTATATTTTTTCACTTTTTATGAAGGAATATATTAATGTATTTTTAACTTTTTTAGAGTTTTGTTGTCTAACTCCCAGTCCAAGTGCCACTTATTCAATGATGTCATCTGTTAGATCCTTACTAATTCCTGTATTTTCAGAATTTGCATGGTGTTATTTGTTTATTTCTTGTGATGCTAATACATTTTTACCTAGTGTTATATTTTTCTCTCAAGTTGTTATTTTAAAGGATAACATCTGCCTTTTAAAACTTGGAACAAATTATACTATGAGCATCTGTAAACCCTTTATTTAATCTATCAGTTGTTAACGTTTTGCCATGTTTTAAAAGTCTCTCTCTACTCACATGTATATGTATATGCTGATATAGATATATAGTTTACAGTATCTATCTCTAAATCTTTGAGTCGTTTTAAAGTAAGTTGCAAATATTTTCATACTTCACCCCTAAGTACTTCACTATGTATCTCCCAAGAAGAGAACATTTTTCTTCTATAGAATCTCAATGCCACTATCATACTCGAGAAATGTAACATGGTTACAGTAACATCTTATGTGTGGTCCATATTTATATTTACCCAGTTGTCCATTAATATCCTTTTTTCCCGCAGATCTGTGATCCAGTGAAAGATCATGCATTATATTTACTGCTCACACTGAAACATTTTTAATTTTTTTTTTCTTTAATCTGGAACAATTCTCTTACCTTTTTTTTTTTTTTTTTTTTTTTTTTTTTGGTTATTCATGACCTTAACGAGTAATGATTTTTAAGAGTCCGGGCTGTTGTTTTGTAACTTATCCCACAATTTGGTTTGTCTGATTTTCTCTTCATGGTTGTATTCAGTTTAAACATATTTGTCAAGCTTTTAAAATAAGTGATGTTACGTACTTCTCAGTGCAGTTATCACAAGGCCCGTGATATCAGTTTCTTCCATTGTTGCTGCTGCTTAAATTAAACCACTTGTTTAAATTAAGTTGGTGTCTACCAGATTTTCTCATTATAAAGATACCTCTTCTCAATTATAATGAATTAGTGATCTGTGAGGTGACACTGAGACTGTATCCTGTTCTAAAAAACATTTTGCCCGGTGTTTTTAGTATCTTGAATCATTACTACAAGCTTTATTGGGGCAGAATCTCTTTTTTTTCTTTTCTTTTTTTTTTTTTAATTATACTTTAAGTTCTAGGGTACATGTGCACAACGTACAGGTTTGTTACATATGTATACATGTGCCATGTTGGTGTGTTGCACCCATTAACTCGTCATTTACATTAGGTATATCTCCTAATGCTATCCCTCCCCACTACCCCTACCCCACCACAGGCCCCAGTGTGTGATGTTCCCCTTCCTGTGTCCAAGTGTTCTCATCGTTCAATTCCCACCTATGAGTGAGAACACACGGTTCTCTGTTTTCTGTTCTTGTGATAGTTTGCTGAGAATGATGGTTTCCAGCTGCATCCATGTCCCTACAAAGGACAAGAACTCATCCTTTTTTATGGCTACATAGTATTCCATGGTGTATATGTGCCACATTTTCTTAATCTAGTCTGTCGTTGATGGACATTTGGGTTGATTCCAAGTCTTTGCTAACTGTTGAATAGTGCTGCAATAAACTACATGTGCATGTGTCTTTTATACGGCAGCATGATTTATAATCCACTTTGGTATAATACCAGGAATAGGGATGGCTTGGTACAAATGGTATTTCTAGTTACTAAGATCCTTGAGAAGAATCACCACACTGTATTCCACAATTGCTTGAACTGTTTTTATAGTCCCACCAACAGTGTAAAAGCGTTCCTATTCTCCACATCCTCTCCAGCACCTGTTGTTCTCGTGACTTTAATGATCACCATTAACTGGTGTGAATGATATCATTATGTCGGTTTTTATGCATTCTTCTACTGAGGCGAGTGTTGATGAGCCATTTTTTCATGTGCTCTGTTGGCAGCATAAATGTCTTCTTTTTGAAGAAGTGTGTCGTATCATATCCTTGCCCACTTTTTGATGGGGTTGTTTGTTTTTCTTGTAACTTGAAATTTGTTTGAGTTCTTTGTAGGTTCTGGATATTAGCCCTTTGTCAGATGAGTAGATTGCAAAATTTTCTCCCATTCTGTAGGTTGCCCAGTTCACTCTGATGGTAGTCTTTTGTTGTGCAGAAGCTCTTTAGTTTAATTAGATCCCATTTGTCAATTTGGCTTTTTTTGCTGCGTTGCTTTTTGGTGTTTTAGACATGAAGTCCTTGCCCATGCATGTCCTGAATGGTATTGCCTAGGTTTTCTTCTAGAGTTTTTATGGTTTTAGGTCTAACATTTAAGTTCTAATCCATCTTGAATTAATTTTTGTATAAGGAGTTAGGAAGGGATCCAGTGTCAGCTTTCTGCTTACAGCTAGCCAGTTTCCCAGCACCATTTATTAAATAGGGAATCTTTCCCCATTCTTGTTTTTGTCAGGTTTGTCAAAGATCAGATGGTTGTAGATGTGTGGTATTATTTTTGAGGCCTCTGTTCTGTTCCATTGGTCTATATCTCTGTTTTGGTACCAGTACCATGCTGTTTCGGTTACTGTAGCTTGTAGTATGGTTTGAAGTCAGGTAGCATGATGCCTCCAGCTTTGTTCTTTTGGCTTAGGATTGTCTTGGCAATGCGGGCTTCTTTTTTGGTTCCATATGAACTTTAAAGTAGTTTTTTCCAATTCTGTGAAGAAAGTCATTGGTAGCTTAATGGGGATGGCATTGAGATCTATAAATTACCTGGGCACTATGGCCATTTTCATGATATTGATTCTTCCTATCTATGAGCATGGCATGTTCTTCCATTTGTTTGTGTCCTCTTTTATTTCGTTGAACAGTGGTTTGTAGTTCTCCTTGAAGAGGTCCTTCACATCCCTGTGTAAGTTGGATTCCTAGGTATTTTATTCTCTTTGAAGCAATTGTGAATGGGAGTTCATTCATGATTTGGCTGGCTGTTGTCTGTTATTGGTGTATAAGAATGCTTGTGATTTTTGCACATTGATTTTGTATCCTGAGACTTTGCTGAAGTTGCTTATCAGCTTAAGGAGATTTGGGGCTGAGACGATGGGGGTTTTCTAAATACACAATCATGTCATCTGCAAACAGGGACAATTTGACTTCCTCTTTTCCTAATTGAATACCCTTTATTTCTTTCTCTTGCCTGATTTGGGGCAGAATCTCTTAACTCTTTTTCTGTCAGTGACAGTACTTAACATAATGTATATGTTTAATATTTGTTGAGAGATTGAATGAATTAATAAATGAAAATTTTATCTTTAGAGAATGAGAAAACATCTTGATTTATCCTGCCAGTTTAACCAAAATCTTTACAGTCACATGCTCTTTTTCTTAAGCTTGTTCAAGTATAGAATAATTAATTACTGTTTTTTTTTTTTCCTATTGCTTCACATCTCAGGGTTTTTTCACAGTTTCCTCCAAATGGCATTATCTCTTTTTCTTCTCAGTAAATTCAAAGCTACTTATTCTGTATGTTTAAACCAACTTTACAGCATCCATCTCATTACGATATTTCATTAACAGAAAAATAAATGTAAATACATAGTGTTCTAGGAGCTACACCTAAATCAAGGGTGTGTGAGTGTGTATATGGGTATATAAAAATCAAGCTTACTTGCTAAATTTTCCCGTGGTTTTTTTTTTTTTTTCCAGTGTTTTACTATGTCATGACAAGGATCATTACTGATTTGTTTTAAAATTATATTGAATTCTGAACTACTTTTTAAGACTACAACAATCATAGAAAGGTTGAAAAAGTTTACTTTCTTTTTTATAGTGCCACTTGCATTGTAGTTATTAAAAAAGAATTGATAACAAATTGCAGTAATGAAACAGTTTGTGAATATGCATTACAAGATTACTAAGGCTAAAATTTTCTGCAGTAGAATATTTATTGCTCAATAAAGTAATGCTAATTTATAGCATTTGGCTTAAAATATTGTTATTTTATGCACCGAAACAAGTATACAAAAATAGAAGGTTAAAAGTTCATTTAAAGCATATTACATCTGAAGATGGGACTTTATACCCCTTTCTGAATTAGTCTAATTTTCTGAGAGTCAACAACATGTATATTCTCTCTGATATACATATAAGAATCATGTAGCTTAATTTCCTGAAAATTGTCTTATTATAAACCACTGAAAGAACTAGGCATATTTAACCTAGAGAAGAGAAGATTAAAAGAAGACCTGACAGTCATCTGCAGATGATTTGGGGACTTTCGTGTAGAATAATGTTTAGGGTAGAACTAGTGTTAGCGGGTAAAAGTGATTTGTAGCTATATTTTCTGTTTCAATATGAGAAAGAACTTTTTTCAATGACTAATAACTGCCCAGGAACATAATGTGGTATCTAATGAGGTAGGGAGGACATTTTACATTGAGATAGTCATGGAAAATTAAGTGACTTTTCTTTCTTACCTTCCCTTCATTCCCTTTGTTTCCTTCTTTCCTAATCAGTGTTTGCTCTAGGTCTGTGCTGTCCAATATGGTTGCTACTAGCCACATGTGGTGATGGAGTCTTTGAAATGCAGCTAGTCTGAATTGAGATGTGCTGTAAGTGTGAAATACACATCAGATGCTAAAGTGTTATATTTAAAAATGTAAAATATCTCACTGATAACTTTTATATTGATGACATGTTGAAATGGTACTATTTTATATATCCTGGCTAAATAAAATATATTATAAAAGTTATATAACTTTTATTAATTATTATTTTAATTAGTAGCTTTTTTTTTTTTTTGATGGAGTCTCGTGCTGTTGCCCAGGCTGCAATGCAGTGGCTCGATCTCGACTCACTGTAACTTCCGCCTCCCAGGTTCAAGTGATTCTACTGGCTCTGCCTCCCGAGTAGCTGGGACTATAGGTGCGTGCCCCCACACCTGGCTAATTTTTATATTTTTTAGTAGAGACGGCATTTCACCATGTTGGCCAGGCTGGTTTTGAACTCCTGACCTCAGGTGATCCACCCGCCTCGGCCTCCCAAAGTGCTAGGATTACAGTCATGAGCCACTGTGCCTGGCTGTAATTATTAGCTTTAATTATCAGTTCTTGGTGAAAATAAGTAAACTGAACTCCATCTCTCTCATTGGTTTTAATTTAAAACTATAGAGTGCCTGAAGAATGTGTATAGGAACTGCTTGAGGACTCTGAAAAGTAATTATTAGACATACTAAGAAGAAATAAAAACTCAAAGATTAACCCATATGGAGGTCATTTTCTTGTGATTTAAAAAAATTTGTTTATCTTTTCTTTCCATGTCTCCTGATTTGGATCCTAGGACATCCTGGCACTATGCACTGGGCAAGGACAGAAAATTCTCCAAAGAAAACCCTCTCCCGGGTCAAAGACATAGAAAGGGGGACCCTTCAGGATGGAATCTTTTTTTTTTTTTTCCCCACCAACTCTTCTGTCCCTAAGGCGGGCAAGCTCTAGTGATGAAACAGGACTCTTGCAATAGCCTCTTAGACTCTTTTGTTTTGGGGTTTCTCCTCCAGATTGACACAGTAATGGAAAGTACATAAAAACATGGGGAGGGGAAAACTCCCAGTTTCAAGCCAGAGTACCAGGAAAAGGTGCCACTGGGAGGCAGAGTACAGGGGAAATCACAGAGAAGAGGGCTGGAGAAAAGGATCCTTTAATCTGTGTATGAAGTCTCAGGCTTATCCTTGAGCTTCACACATGGAACCGGACAGAATCAATATAGCAGAATCTTTGAGAACTGAGCTACAGCATAGAACATTGCCCAGACTAGCCTCTGGGTGGTGTGTACTTTGGGAAAACCAGAATAGCGTTTAAAGGCTTTGAAAACTATTCGGATGAATCAAGTCCACAGAAGATGGTTTAGTGCTTTCACTTTGAATCTAACTTTATGCCAATTCATTTGGCAATTAAGTGAAATGAACACATTCCTTGAAAGAAATAAACTATCAAAAATCACTCAGGAAGAAATAGATTATCTGATTAATCCTGTATCTGTTAAAGAAATTGAGTTTATAGTTTAAAAAAAATCTTTCACAAATGAAATGCCAGACCCAGATTATCTCAGGTGAATTCTACCAAACATTTAAGACAAAAAAATCACCAACTTTATGCAATATAATCCAGAAATGGAAAAGGATACAGCAGTTTCTATCTTATTTTATGAGGCTGGCATTTTTCTGATATCGAAACCGGTCAAAGAAAGTAGAAGAAAACAAACAAACAAACTATAGGCCAGTATCCCTCTTTTGAACAAAGAAGTAAAACTTTTGGAAAAAATTAGCAAATTGAATTCAGTAACATATATAAAATGCATACATATATATGTCTAAAAGTAAAATAATGTATCATAATCAAGCAGGTTTTATTCTGGGAATGAAAGCCAAGTTCAACATTTGAAAATCAATCGATGCAATTCTCCACATTAACAGACTAATACAAGATAAACCGTATGATCATATCAATTGATGCAGAAAAAACTAAAATTTAAAATCTGTTCATGATAAAAACTCTTAGCTGAATAGGAATAAAAGGGAATTTCTTCAGCCTCAAACTTATAAAGGATATCTACACAGAACCTATAGCTTAATATCATACATGGTGAAAGACTGAATGCTTTTCTTCTAAGACTGAGAATGAGGCAAAGATGTTCACTTTCCCAAATCCTATATAACATAGTACTGGAATTTGCAGGAAGTCAAGAAAAGGAAAAAAAGGCATATGGATTGGAAAGGAAGAGATAAGTCCACCTAATTTGCATATAATATGATTGTCTATGTAGAAAATCCCAAGGCATATTCAGAAAATCCTAGAACTTGTGAGTTTTTTAAGGTTACAGGATATAAGATCAGCATAGGACAGTCAGTCATATTTCTTTATACTAGCAATGAACAATCAGAAACAGAAAGTTAAAAAGTAGTACCAATTATAATACTTTCCTGCCCAAAAAATGCTTAGTTATAAATCCAATAAGGTATGTTCAATATCTGTATGTAGATAAAGGAATTGAAGAAGACCTCAATAAATGCAGAGATATATAATATATTCATGAATGGGAAGACTCAACATAGTTAAGATGTTTTCCCTAATTCGTTTTAATTAGTTTCCTAAGTCACTTTTCCCTAAATTAATGTACAGTATTTAGCATAATCCCCATCAAAATCCCAGGAGGATTGGGCAGATATTGACAAGATGATTTTAAAATGTATATAGGAAGGCAGAGAATTAAAATAGCCAAAACAATTTTGAAAAAGAACAATAAAAATGGAGGAGTCAGCCTACTCAGTTTGAAGACTTACTATTAAGGCAGTATGGTGTTGGCAAAAGAAGAGACATACATCAGTAGAACAAAATAGAAAGTCCAATAATAGATCTATATAAATATGGTCAATGATTTTCCACAAAAATGCAAAGGCACTTCAGTGGCAAAAGGAGCCTTCTCAACAAGTGGACATCTACATGCAGAAGAAAAGGACCTTGACTTGTATTTCAAACCATGTTCAAAAATTAGTGAATCACATTCTTAAATGGAAAATTTCAAACCATAATAATCCAAGAAGTATCCATAGAAGGAAGGCTTTGTGACTTGGGCTGGGCATTGAGTTAGATACAACCTTAGAAACATAATCCATAAAAGAAAAAAACTGATAAATTGGATTTCACTAAAGCTTAAAACTTTTGCTCTGCTGAAGAGACTGTTAAGAGGAAGACAAGAAGCAATAAGAGAAAATACTTGCAAATCATGTATCTAACAAAGAACAAATTTCAAGAATATATAGCTTTCAAAAGTCAACAATAAGAAAACCAACAACAATAAATAAAAGAGGAACAGATTTGAGCAGATACTCCACCAAAGAATATACACAGTTAGCAAATATACACATGAAAAGAAGCTTAACTTTATTAGTCATTAGGAAAATGCAGATTAAAATCATGATGAGATGCCATGACGTACCTGTTAGAATGACTAAGATCAATGACAATAATAACAAAGTTGACCATATTAAATGTTGGCAAGAATGTGTAGAAACTGGAACTCTCATGCATTGTTGATTTGAATGCTAAATGTAATAGCCACTCCGGAAAAAAGGTTGGCAGTTTGTTTTATGGTTAAAGATACATTTCATCATATGACCTAGCATTCCAGCCTTAAACGTTTATCTAGAAATGATAAATGTACATTCACACGAAACATGTACATATATGTTTATAGCAGCATCATTCATAATCATCACAAGCTGGAAATCACCTACATGTCTTTTATTGGGTAGATGGATATATAAACTGTGGTGCATCTGTACAATGGAATATACTAGTAGGCTCTAAAAAGGAGCAAACTATTGATAGATGCAGCAATTTGTCTGAATCTCAAATGCCTTATGCTAAGTGAAAGAAGAAGCTAGTCTCAAAAGGTTACATACTATATGATTCCATTTGTATGGCATTCTGGAAAATGCAAAACTGAAGGGGCCAAGAGCAGGTCAGAGGTTTCCAGGAATAAGGAATGGTGGGAACATTTAAATACACAAAGATAGCATGAAGACATATTGGAGAGTGATAGGATTGTTCTGTATCCTAATTTGGTGGTGTTTACACAAATCTCTGCATGTTATACAACTCTTATAGCTATACAGAAAAAGGTGAATTTTACTGAGTATAAAGTTAAAAAATAGTTTATAATTTTTATGTCACTTTTTTCTTTTTTTAGAATGTGGCTACTGATAAGTTTAAAATTACGTATGTGGCTTGCATTATTATTTCTATTACATAGCACTGCTTCAGGTATTAGAAGTGCAAAGAAGGATTAGGTGTGGTCCGAAGTCTAGGAGAGGGATATGGCAGAAGGAAGTCTTCTAAGAAGAGGAGGCTAAGTTTAGCCTCTGCCCCCTACTTCCATCCTTTGTTCTACAAATATTTTTTTTGAGAGCCTAATTCATGTAAATATGCCAACTCTTAGATGTAATATTCCTTAGAGTCTTTTTCCTTGATATTGGAAATTAAACTCTACCACTCAAGATGAGAAGTATGCTGTGCAATGGAATAATTAGTGGTATCCTTGAATTTGTAGGCACAACAGCCTACATTGCTGAGGCAGTTGACAAGTTCCTTGACAAATTTGTGATGAATGTTTAAGTTCATATTATTATTGGTTAGATATTATTGTTTAAATTATTGCACCTAAGATTGTTTATTGTTTATAAATTGCCATACAGGGAGGTTTCCAGAAGGATGCCTAGCTAGTATGTTTATAATTTGAAGTTAGGAGTGCCAACCCAAAATTGGAGTAGAATCTAAGAATATCATGATGGACTTTAAATAGGTAAATCTAGCGATATTGAAATATAATACAGATAAATTTAAAATTTTGAAATGGATTCTGAAATTTAGTTGTTCCAGTGAAGAAGAGGGATATGTAGTTTAGTAGTGGTAAATACATAAAAATGTTAGGGCTTTTAGTTAATAAGAAGCATAATAGGAGTCACTACTGATGAGGCTGCCAAAAAAGCTATTTTAACTTGCAATGCCATTTATCAGTAGAAGTTTAATGCATAAATTAAGGCATGGGTTTTCTT